AGCTTAGTGGTCAGAGCGGGACTTGAACCCGTCACCTCCGGATTTCAAGTCCGGAGCCCTAACCACTCGCCCGCGCTGTCTACTGTTAAACCCCACACAAAACTTTCTTACAACGTTTTGCAGCCATTTTTTCGTTCAGGAAGCGTGCTGATTGCTTTTACTTCCTCACAACAAAGATTCCAACCAAAAGACTACAAGACAAGACTCACTGCGCAAACTCGTCCAAGGGAAGCTTGTTGACATCAAATATTTTTTTGTTTGACTGCAGGAACACTGATCTGGCGTAGGATACAATACTCTGAGGAGAAAATAACCAATATGTGATTAATTGTCAAATAAAACAGTTGGTTTTTTTACCTTAAATTACAATATTTAGAGCGGAAGCCACATCAGCCTTAGCTGGTTTTCATGCAGGTCCTCCATCCTGGTCCAATTGGAATTTGCGGCCGATAAATGCACGCAAAACATTTTTGTGCATTCCTATGAGGGTTTTCCAAAAACAGTAGCAGCGTTGTTATTCCAACGTCTCACACCAGAAAGCGAACTGCTCCAGACCTTATTTTAGAAAATCTTTTAAGTACATGTAAGTTAAGTCTCCTAAGCGCCCTCTTCCAACAAGGGCACACTTTCGAACTGTGAAGAACAGCTCCCGAAAAAACCTGTCGGCCGTCTGTCGGACATCTGTCGGACCACAGTCGGTTTTGGCCAAAGCCCCGGCCTATTCACAGACCAACAGTCTGTCGACATCGCTGCAGAAAAATGACCAGACTATCTGTTTTCGGGTTTCTGAAACTATTTTGTTGATAGGATATGATACTCTATTACTGTCTTTTCTACAGCAAACTTTCTGTCTTAGAAAACTGTCGGTAACCTGTCGGCAGCTTGTCGGTAACCTGTTGGTAACCCGTCGGCCGACAGTTGGCCGACACTGAGTCAGTTTTGGGAGCTCTTCTTCACAATTACCTATTTTTCTATTTGAACTAAAATTGAATTTATGAGTAGCATAACGAACATCATGGGATGTGAGAGCCTGTTACCTTTTGAGCCCATTGCTTTATTTCTAAGTCCTGAGCACAGAATGCTTCAAGTTTCTTTCGAATTGAACCCAGCTTCTGTGGATTCACTCTGCAATTTCAAAATTAAACAATTACGACAAGTTAGAAAATACAAACTACTGTGAATCGAATAAATGCATGGAAGCAGACTTTCATGAGATCAAATCTACATCTCTGGTATTAGGTCTCGTGCCATCACATTCACGAGGGGGCTATTAATAAATGTTAAAAATATTAAATGTTGAATGTTTATAGTGGTTGATCCCGGCACTTAAACTGAAAGAAAGAAATATTTCAAATAAACATAATAGGCTTAAAAATCCCAACTGGCGGGAAGCAGACCATTTGTCTATTTACAAGTGGTCAGAGCGGGACTTGAATCCGCGACCCCCGGTCTGGTCCAGTCCTGTGACCAAACCACTCGGCCATGCTGTCTCCCTCCCTTATAGATCAT